TCCAAAAATATATTATTTTTGTTTATTTTTATTGTGTACAAAATTATCGTTTTATGGTCAACCATTTCAAAAATTACGTTTTTAATTTAATCCTGCAAATATGACATGACGTGATATGCAATGAGTCATCAATATTACTCATAAAAGAGAAGCCTCACAGTAACCTTAAACAATAAAAACAATTTAATTTGAATAAAAGTAAAAAAATATTAAAAGCAAAAGAGTATTTTAAATTCTAAAAAGATAACAAGGTTTAATTACCCCATTAATTTCTAAAGTCATACAAATTGGCTTTCTCCTTTTTGCCATCCATTATCTTTTTTAATAGATTTTAGTGACGTGTGTTTACTTTTTTTATAATAAAAATAATAAATTATTATTATTATAATTATAAAAAAAATAAAAAATATATCCTTTATAATTTTATTTGTATTAAATATTTATTTTAGTTTAAAAAAGTGGTTAAATTAAAAAGAACATTTAAATTGAAAAAATAAAGTTACATAAAAGGTAAAAATGGTAAACGATAAAATAAAAAATAAAATGTGTAAATCAAAATAGAAAATCACTTTTATAACATTTTCATTTTGCCATTTTAAATTTTTAGTCTCTACCATTTGAATTTAACACGGATTATATAAGTTAAAATTTTATTTCCAACAGAATTCCATCATATTATTTCATGTGTAATTTGGAAATGTAAGTCAGTATTTACTTTTTTTCTTCCATTACTTCAATATTCATCGACCAGAAAAAGTCAATGCCCAATTTAGAAAAATAAAACAATTTCATGTACATGAATAAATAGCGGTTCGCTGCAGGTGGATTGAATACGTAGAATTTTCCGTGTAGAAGCCATAGAGTAATAACAAATGCTGATTATAACCTTTTCTCAGGTCTCATTGGAATAAAAAACTAAAAAGAACAGTTACCAGAGTTAGAAAAGCTTTGCAAAATGGAAGCAATAACCAGAGATTCATCATCGCCATCGAAAGCAGAGTTCATCTCCGGACAAACTCCAACACTTTGATGCAGCTCCGGGGTAGGTGGCGGCGGCGGAGGAGGCAATGAGATAGGAGGTGGCGGAAGAGACAGAAAAGGGTAATGAAAATTGGTTCGAGCATTGATACCAGAAATGTTGATAGATGAAAGATCATAGGCAATAGCAGCCTCTTCAGCAGTGTCAAATGTGCCTAGCCAGTGTCTCTCTTTGGTGTAAGGGTTCCTAATCTCAGCAGCATATCTTCCCCATGGCCTTCTTCTCACGCCCAGATACATTGTAGATCGCCTAGAGTTTCTCCTAATGGGGTTTTTGTAAATCAGTGAAGGAACATCTTCCATTGGCTTGGTCGTGGAAGCTGTTTCAGACATAGAAAAGATGCAGTTGATTTTTTCTACATAACTGGTAGTAATTAAGGTATATATAAATAGAATGATTGAGAAGGTTATAGTTTAATTGGTGAAATTTATGTGGAAAATGGAACAATGAATGATGGTAGAAGAAAGAATATTATGTGTTAATATGATATAATAATGGAGTGGGGCAGGTAAGCTATCATGGAATATATATAATATAGAATTAACTGCTAATTTCTTTCTCTCATAATTCTCCTTCATTTCCCTGATTTCCTCGCATATGACATTATCAGAGTCAGCATGATGCGTAAATCACTGCAACTGCTGATTTATTGTCAGCTTTTGTCAATTAATCTCTCTATTTGTTCTTGCTAGAGTGATTATTGAAGAATTAGTTTATACAAATTTAATTAGTTGTTTTTTTTAAGAAAATCTGGTTGATTAAAACTGTCCCATCTTGTTGCCAATATATACAATAAAAAATAGGATCTTTTTGTCATGCCTGCATGATTTTGTGGTTTGTGTTTGTGGAAAGTTGAACTTGTGGTTTATGTTTGAAAAGTGGATCATGATGACTTCTTTGGCAGGCAGAAAACATAATGTATTTTGTACCTTCATAATGGAAAATGGAGTTGTTATTATATATTTTTAATAGTTTATGTTTTATTTAAAATTGATTGAGTTTGTATCAAGATTTTCATGATTAATGGTTCAATATTGCTGCTGGTTGTAGTTTTACTCATTATTTGTTAACTATCGTATAATTGCTCACTAACTACTTATTAATATATCCAAAGCCTTCTATGTTTTCTTAGACAATAATGCAAAGGGATATATAATTTTATAGTTCATTATTTGTTTTGTTGATCTAAACGGAGTTGGATTTGTTTATATCAATGAGCCATTCGTGCACATAAAAGTTAAATTTTATTTTGTTTAATATTAACCACGCGTGATGATCTTACGATTAAGCTATTAAAGTTGGAAAATTAGACGCCTATAATTGCTAAACACTGTCTTCAAGAAAATGAAAATAAAAATAAAAATTAGCAAGCTTTTGATGCAAACTATTGTAAGAATTTGCTCTTTAAAATTAAATATATTTTTAGTTTTTCAATTTTAAGTAAAAATTTAAATTAATTTTTCTTTAAAATTTTGATTTAATTTATTTTTTCAACTTCAAAAATTCATAAATTTAATTATTTTAATAAAATTTTTTAACATTAAAACGGAAATGTGTGAATATAAACAACTCAAAAATTTAATTAAATTTTGTTAAAAAAATAAATTCATGTATTTTTAAAATTAATGAACTCAATTCGATCAAAATAAAAAAATGATTAATTTCAATTTTTATTAAAAATTAATAGACAAAAACAAAGAGAAATCATATTTACCTCATAAATTTATTTGGAATGAATGAATTTATTTCATAGAATCAATTTCTATCGTTTTATGTTTACACAAATTATATATATATATATATATATATATATATATATATTATATGATGATTTGTTTTATAGAGACGTAATTTAATAAAGAATAGATAATTTCAACATCTTAATTTTGTTATGAGGACTATCACGTGTTCTAAAAAATATAAAAAAATATACAACACTAATAACACATCTTTAATCTAAAATGTTATTTAATATAATAGGTTTATGAATCTTCGTTTTTATACATTGTTTATGGATGGTAGAACATATATTTCTTTTCTCAAACTAGACCATTTAACTGTGTAAGTACAATTTCCTTTTATGAAAAACTAAATTATCGTCATGTTTTTTCTAATTTGACAGGTTATTTACTACGGAAATTTTACTTTTTTGAGGAACAAAATCTTAACGTGTTTTTCTATTTTTATAGATTTATATATTTATTTATAATAAGTTGTTTTATTAAAAATTTATAAATTTCTATAAACTCATGTTAATATAAATTTAAAAAACATATTTACTTTAATATTTATAAATTAATCAAAAATAAAAAATTGAACATGATTAGAATAAATAAGATGATTAAATATATTGTAAATATGATAATAGGAAAATTATCATAATAAAATATAGTAATTATGATTGTTTTTCTAAAATTATTTTTGATAAATATATATTTATTCGGTTAAAATAATTTACGTAATAATGTTTTTGAGTTTAATAAGTTAGAAAAATAAAATAATGATACGATTGTAGGTGGAAATATTTGAAAATAAATTTAATGTAAAGTTAAAAATCAATAATATGAGTTTTAAAAAAATATATTTATTTATAAAAAATATTATTTTAATAAAGTATTAAAAAACTATTAGATTTTTTTAATAAAGTTTTATTTAGAAAAAAATATATAAATTTAAAATATATCAAAATATAAAAATTCTCAATAGAATTTTATAAAAATTTAATATACAAAAGGTATAAAATTCAAAAATTAAAATTTATTTTCAAATTCAAATTAGATGACTATTTGTTGAAGTTATTAGTTATTTAAAATAAAGTTAATAGTTAGAAAAACTAAATTACGTATTAATAAAGATTTTTTTTTGAAAAAAAAAATAGTAATAGATGTCTAGTGAACAAAGAATAAAGAATAAGATGAATTATGGAAATTTATTTGAATTAAATTTGGTAAATAGATATTTATAGAGTTAAAATAATTTAACTTGTTAAAATTTTGGTGGAAACAAAAATGTCAAATATTTTTGCCTACAATCATATTATTATTTAATTTTACTTTTTTTAACTTATTACACAAAAAAATCTACTACATAAATTATTTTAAAAAAATTAATATACACTTATCAACTTTAATTAAAAAACAACAACAATATTAATAATATTTTATTATTTTATTATGATACCTTTTCTATATACCATAATTACAGTATATTTGAATAATTTTGTTTATTATATTCATTCTTCAAATTTTTTATTTCCAAATAATTTATAAATATTAAATTAAATATATTTTTCAAATTTATATTTACATGAATTATAATTTTTTGATAAAATATATTATTATAAATAAATATACAAATCTATAAAACTAGAAAAAGATGTTGAAAAGAATTCGTTCTTTAAAAAACAGAATTTTAGTAACAAACAACTTGTAAAATTAGAAAAAATGGGATGAGAATTTAGTTTTTCACAAAAAAAGAGAGTTGTAAATAGTAAAAAGGTTTAGTTTGGAAAAAAAAATCTGATAATCTACTCACATTAATAAAATTTAAAAGTGATTTATAACAGGAAAAGGTAATGTGTGTGAGAGGAAAAAAATTGTCACATATTATCCTATGATTTATGAAGAATGAATTATAATTATTTTATATTGAAATTATTAAACGTATGTTTAATTTAGATATATTATTTTGGTTTTAAAATTAACTGGAAGAAAAGACGCAATGGAGGAAAAGACAACAAAAGAATACATGAACATGGAATATTATTGTTCTTTGATCCCTTTTATAATTGAAACTGGATTCTATAACGACAGTGGTGATTTTGTCAAATTTAAACCCAACACCACTTCAATAGCTTTAGCAGCTATGTAACAAAGGTTTTGGTTTAGTGCTTGAGATAAATGGATGAATCAATAATGTTTTATTATAATCGATTTATCATAATAGAAATTGATGATAAAATCCAATTCATATATAAGAAAAAAAACAGAATATGCAAATATTAAATCTTAAAAGTAAAAAGAATTACAAACCTTCGGTCTCAGATTTTGTTCACTTGACTGGATTTTGGAGAAAGTGATTGAGAATATTTGAAGAAAAATTTTGTTGTTGTTTATTTAAGTGAATTTGGAAGTAAATTTTTTTAATTTGTCACGTCAATCAAATCCTACACCAATTCTCAAAAATGTTACTTCCAAATCCACTTTCATTTACCTCCAAATTTAGTCAAATAAACAAAAAAAAAATTTACTTTCAAATCCTCTGAAATTCGCTCAATCACTTTCCCCTAAATCCATTCCATTGAAGTGAACAAGACATTAAAGTTTAATTAGATTGGTGGTATGGTGTTTTTTTTTTGTTGTCTTATAATCCATTGGGGAAGATTTCTCCAATTATTTCCCTTTCGAAATTCTACAAATAAATGTATAGTTAGAGTATTGATATTTTTATTTCTATATTGAAGGACTGGTAAATAAAAAGTCAATGTAATTAAATGTAATTAATTTTAATATTGACTAAGTTATAATTAAAGTATAATTATTTATAATTGGATCATAATTAGGTTGTTGTAATCAAAATGTATTTTAAAACATATAAATATATGAGATAAGAAGATAAATGATTTATATTTACTGTTAAATTAAGAAAATTAATATCTGAACTATTAATATTTTGTTAACTGTAATACTTTCTCTAAATATTTTTAAAGCAATTTGGACGAACGAATTTGAAGATTGAAATAATCAAAGACTTAAATTACAAAACAACATTTTAAAGCGTAAAAGACTCATCAAAATTGAACTGATAACCTTGATTGTTTACTTGAAAACACTTACAAATCTTTTTCATTTTAAATTTAAGCTTTTAATTGAGGTTATAGTCCCTCTAGTTATTAAGATACTAGGTCGAGAACGAGGTTATCTTCGTAAGAAATCCATTGATATACATATGGTTTCTCATTAATTCGTTTGGCAAATGATATTTGCGCTATCAAAAGAAAGTATATAGTTCGGTACATTATGAAATTAATTGCAATAATATATAGTTATTGAAAACTAATTTGCAAACATTTATGTAGACTTTATATTATGTTCCTTTTTAAGGTTGAGTGGAGGAATTTGTACACAAGCTATCCAACCATACAAAATACAGGTTGAGGTTGAGACCCGTAGGCCTATTTATTAAATATTTTAAATAAAAAATTATATATTTTAGATGCTAATAAAATTATGCCGTATATATATATATATATATA